ACGGACCATACGGCGCTCCTCCCGGCTTAATCACTTTTCTTTTCTTCCTCCGAAGCCGTATCTTTTCTCACCGGAGTTTATCAATATTTTAACGGATACAGGCGCAACGAAAGAGAAACGTGAGGAATTAAACTATTTTTTTTTATTGTGAAATAATCAAAAATACTGTCTCTATAAAGAGCATCACATATATATTAATATATTTATTCAGATAATATTCTCGAATATAATAATGTTTAAAATAATACGTATCTCAGCGTGGTGAAATTTTACACGAAGCCAATTGTGCAAGAAGAAAGATCGCCAAGTTACAAACTTCAGTGTCTATCGATAATCGTGTCCTTTTTAAGTCGCTCGGGCGAAGCTGAAGTTGAGTGTGTTAATTACTAAACACGGGCCGGTTACATCGTTCGCAAAATTGCATGAATGCATGAATTCTGGCGTACGAGTAATTTACGAGTACGCCGCGCTGAACGCGGGCTGGTATTAGAACTAACGCTCGTTCTGTTAAAACATTCATAGCGAGGCTATAGGTCGGCTGGCTGATTAGCCTGCGATATTAATCAACGAAAATTAATCAACTTCCGGGTTTAGAATATTCTCGAAATGCAAAGATTTCATCGATAATTTCACCGCGAATCCGCCTGGTATGCGCGGTCGCGGAAAAAAAGAATATTATTTGGGCGAAAGCTCGTTTCGCGAAACTTGTCGTTTCCTCCGCGCCTTCGTCATCTCGCTCGTAATTTTTATTTCTCGTGCTCAAAGCGTCGCCGTGCCGTTGTTTAATCTTTCATTCCGCGCCATTTGTAATAAAGGGACCACCGGCGTCGCTCTTTTCCGCAGTGCTCTCGGTCCCCGGGATCCCCCCTCGCCCCGCTTTCTCATCGCTTTGATTTTTCTCGAGACGTCCGCCGAGAGGCATTCCGCCGCATGAATTCTTAACCGGCGAAATTAGCGAATTAAAAGTGTGAGAGGGATGGAAAAACGCGCGGACCCGGAACCGGCTGCCGCCAGGAAGGCCGAGGAAGCGAGGCCGGCGAGAGCGTATAGTGGCGGGCGAAAGGGAAAGACTCGGGAGGGTCTGTGAATCTCGGAACGTTCCTCCTTTTCCTCATTTTACACCGCGGCACCTCGTAAATACGGATATGCAGGCTCGTTTCCAAACTGTTCCGCGCGCAGAAGCGGGGGCTTGGTGGGGAAACGTTGGTCGAGGCAGAAGCCTTAATTTTTATTCATGCGCCGACGAAACGGCAATTTTTCGCAGTATTAAGTGGGCTTTAAAATTGTCCGGTCAATTTCTTCGGCAGGACGTGCTCCTTTTTTCAAGCACCGCTATCATTGTCGCGACGACGCCCCTCTCGACGGGCTAGTTTTCCCTCCCCCGTTCAACGCACTTCTCGTGGTCCTTCTGATGGACGCAAAATCACGCGCTCCATTCCGCGGGAATCCTTTACAAATTACATCCAATGAGAGTAGTACGTAGCTGCGTAGTCGCTCGGGGGAGAATACCAATGTGTTATCGGTAACGTGGCTATTACGCATCGGCGTCTTTCATAGCGCGGATTACGCTCATAGACGGATCATTAGGTCATAGATGTTACCAAATGGACGCCCAGATTACGGGCTTTCGCAAGCGTTTAACAATCGCAATCCCGCAGTCCTTTGAGATTGTCCTGCGCCATTCTATCTGCGCCGCTTTTCGCGCAGCGGCGATTTTCGCAGCCAACACACGCGCCTAGTTAGCGGCTCCGGGAAAACCGATTAGTTCCTGGCGCGTAGGGCGGTCGATCATTAGATTTTGGCCGGGAAATTGAGTTTTGCCCGCTGCCGAAGGGATAATCTTTGGTAGCCTCTGGCCTCTGCTATGCGCACGGACTCTATCTGTTCCTCTCCCTCTCTATTTCTCTTTCTCTCTCTCCGGGTGCATCCCGATCGTCGCATACGCTCACGGACGCACGTGTGCATACATGCGTGCCTGTGTGTTGCATATACGTGTGTGAATATACATACGACCGCGTTCACGCGCTCGCGCGGTTGTGTGCGCTTGCGACGGTGGCGGCACGTAACTTCGGTTCCATTATTGAGCGATCGGGCGATCGAAAAATTCCCGCGCTTTTTCGCACGCGGCCACCCCGGTGGGGCGAACCGGACTCTCATTGGCTCGGCCGTTTGGTCATCCTTGCGCGCCGCTGGTACGAGAGGGGGTGAACGGACTCGCTCACCCTCGTTCTCGTTCTCTCTCTCTCTCTCCCTTGCACTCCGCACCCTCCCCAGGTATTTGTCTAGGCTACAGATATTGACCAGCTATCGATATCGTGGACACTCGTCGATATTATATTCTCCGCGCCGCCTGCTCCCCCTCCACCGTATCCGTTCTTTCGCTTCGCTCTCCCACCCCATGGATTTTACCGGCCGTGCGTTCTCGTGTAAATTTCGGTTAATGAATTATATGTATAATATATAGACACGCGTGCATATATGCGCGCGAACGATGTAACTCGTGTGCATATTTGCGGAGCGATGGAACGGCGGGTGGGGGAGGAAGGGGGCACGTCGGCACGCCGGCGAATTCCCGCCGATTTTTGAACGCGAACGACCAATCGCCGCGTGCCCCGCCGCGCCAGAATTTCATCGAAATGAGAAATCAATACGCGGTGCAAACGCTATAACGGGATTGTTCCGTTGCAAAAATGTACGCGGTTTCCGAGTATGCCGCTTTGCATTCGTATTACTTCGATATTAATTAGTACGTGCCAACGTATTATTGTTTTCCCGATTTATACATACATACGTATATATATATATATATATATATACTGTCTCTTATACACATCTCTGAGCGGGCTGGCA